TGATAAGCAGCGTTTATCGATCGATTACAGTGGACACGTATTGGACGACCTAGTGCCCTGATTGGCCCTGCTTCGCTGTCCGTCCTAGCCCAGTTGAGTGAAGAACACAAGTCACAGCCTCTGAGTTATGAATCATTATATTTCAAACATACTTTGTTTATATACCAATCAAGCATATCACATCGTACTATAAAATAGAAAACAACATTTTGTACAATATTCAGCAAGTGAACAGATATCGACCAATAGGAAATGTCCATTTAAATTCCAAGGACACCACTGGACTTAACATGATAATTATTGGTCTATTCCTCCGCATCCACAACAGGGATGAAGATCGAATACATCCGTGACACAAAGATCAGTATTGAATCATGTCAACTAAGGTTTTGAATAATAATACACACTTGTTTCACTAAACTCAACCAAAAAATTTGTATCTGATATGGTTCAATTCAATAGTCCATAATTTTCTAAAATGATGTCAGGTAGTGGTCCTTCCTCATTTTTATTTATAACTTCCAACCATCCAATATTAAAAAGTTTAGTTAGACTTGTAAATTACATTAATAATCATGTCATCGAAGGCAAATTAAACAATGATAAAAGTAACAAGATGAATTTCAAATTCAGTTTTAATTACGAAAAGCCGTCAGAGAGAAAGATTAAAGATCATTGAGATTTCGTATCAACACAAACCACGTCGGCGGTGGGACAGATTATACCTACAAGAAAGTCACTCAGTTTCACGAACTGGCTGAAGTGGAGAATGAGAATCATTCGATTCTAACATATTATCACAAAGTTATCACGTTAGCTTCGTAATGTAAGTGTAGCAGGTCCCGTTCATACAGGGTTGTAAGTGTATAAGACAAAAGTCACGAAATGGCATGAAACAGGTGTCTAGAACTCATTCATTTTGAATCATTCTCCAGCCGAAGCCAAAATGAACAATCTCCATAAACGGCTATCTTCATAAAAATTGTTTTTCATTGATATCTAATTTCGAAAAAATGATTTTCCTGTCTAGCTACAATCAAAACTAACCTCGCCATTATAAAAATCCCAATTAGCGTTCAGTCTATGTCCTTGTCTTCTCATTTAAGATTCGGATTATTTCAAACACGAAACTTGTATATGTTTCATATTAGGCATTGCAAAATAGTGCTGATGCATTTCTTATTATAGATTTTAGTGAGAAGTGTATTGGTCGTATTCTACTTATTTCATCTCATTAATTATTATCATATTTTCTCATGCTTAAAATTAGTATTTATTTAACTACATATCAACATAATCCACGAGATACCGAGCAACTTAATCTAGTGGCCACATGGCAGCTTGATCGATAGAATTTGGTCAGCACTAAAAAAAGACATGACATTCATGATATTGGTCACTACCCAGTGATCAATGATTTGTGAACGATCGTAAGAAGCGTACTGCCATGTTGAGTATTTTTAAAACAGAATAGTGGATGAACTAAGTACATTAGGTATGCAGCAAACATTTAGATAAATTGGCAACTCATACATAAATTGGAATCACAAAACCAAGTTTAGTAATTAGTATATCTATGAGGTTTAAATAAATTCATTATCTTGTGCAATAATACAGAATATTGTAAACCCGAAAGCGTAGAATACATCATTAAAATTCTCAGTATAAGGTTGTGGAGAATTTCATTAAACTCATGAACTCCTCAGAAGGGTGCATCTACGAGCCCAAGACCTTCGATCTCGCACACGAACCCTTAACCTATGGACCGTTGGGCCGGCATCCAACGTTTTCAACACTAAACCTCAATTAGTCCACGACACTAAGCGACTATCTTCGATTGTCTTCAGTAGGCCTAACACCTGACAAAAATTAGATTTACCGGTCACGGTTCCTCACAAGAACTCTTGGTTCAATTTGTGTGTGCGGGGACGCTGACGTGCGCTGATGACGAGTTCCATACTGGAACGAGATGGCCGTTCAATACTTTCAGGTTTTCAATGGTAGCCCAACTTAAATGGGTTCATGATTTAAATGAAATTCAGAAATCTCCACAACCCCATGATGAATTTATTGCCGTTACTCCCTGTTTAGTTCCATGAATATACATATGTAATTAACTCATTTATAGTAGGGATTTTCCTCAGTTCATTACAACCTAGCATTTATTCGTTAAAATATGGATCTCCCCATTAAGATAAACGTCTCGCAAATATACAGCAATAAATAACCTGATTGGGAATAATACAATATCTAAATGTAACTGAATTGTTACACTAACCGAATAATTTTCAAATTAAGTAGTTTCCAATGTATGAATCTAGCATCTAGCTTCATAGACATCTTTATTTTGTTTCGGGAGAATAGTGCTGCTATAAACCATAAATAAGTAGTTGAAGAAGTTATACGGAATTTTAGTTATGAAGTGCAGCGTTAAATTGGAAGTTTCACTTGAAAATTTTTCAAATGATATTCAAAATAAAGGTTTATCCGATACTAGCAGGAAGTATTTTGAAGAAATAAGTATGGATTGATGGTTTCTAATTCCACATAACTAGCCATGACTTTATGATAATACATAATAAAGTAAAAACTACTTCAAAATTTCTGTAGAAAACAATGTATTATCTGGAAACCAATACAACACATAAAACTTATCAAAATCTTTGTTTCAAAAATGATTAATACACCGTCCAAAAATAAGCTTTATGTTGCCACTAGCTCCGAGTAGACCAACAGTATTAGAAATTATCCATGAAATACACATATCTTCAATTCATATAAAGGATGGAGTATGAAATGTCACACTGGAAAGTCTTATGTCTAATCCCAATGTGGTCAAATTAATGTTTACTCGATGTGAAACTACGTTTCATACTTATATATACTTTTACAAAAACAAAAAAATTTTCATATTTATGCGATTGTACAGCTTGATAATAAATTCGTTGAAAAGAGATCCTTTCTGGTGGTGTTTTGCTCAGAGAACAAAACACCACCAAAATCATCCACCTGAGCTACAAATCTTCTCCACCATCTCAGAGATCCTTTCGCTGAACTTCGTGTTTTAATTTTAATGTTTAAATGGGAATTATCTGTCAATTGATATATACTGCTCCAATACTCTCTATAATAAAAATAAACGAATAAATTACCAATTAAGGCATTGTTCTTTATCTAAATAAGAACTCATTTGTTTCATCATGTGGTACTGCTTACATGGATTCTGTTTTAACCCAACTTATAGCCAATTGAGGTACTAATGTGTCCATTCGGAATTTATTCGCTAGTGCTGCAATACAAACTCAGCAATAATAACTAGTTGACTTCGGTTAATGGTGGTCCTGTGAAACACGTTAGCACAGAAAAGCTTTATACATATATATCATGACCATTAGACAGAATTTTCAGGTGTAGTTTTTCTTTGTTTAGGAAACTGACCAAGCACCAAAGGATATATAGAACTAAATAGTATAACAAAAGTGGAGAACATCTCGGTCTAGGAAAAATAAGTTGTCATGCCTTTCTTTCGTGTTAGTGCTAGATAATTCGGTCTATTTATCAGAGCACATTACCTTGGGACTGCCGTCTCAGAAGATTAATTCCCTAAATGATACGGGTAACTATATAGTAGCAAACGTCAAACGAAACGTGCATCCTGGATTCCACTGCTAGCCACCAACTATCTCTGCTTATAATACTAGGACTGAAGTTACGTCGCTGACTAATAGATCTCACCAACTACATGAAGTGGTCTCCATGTCCAGTTACTTTTCTCCTTGTCTTCAAAAGTAATAACTATCGGTGCAAAATGTGAATTAAACATTTCCACACTTTTTCTCCCCATTAATTAATTAAATAATATAACTCACTCACCAAGTACATATTTATATACTCGGCTTTGTGTCAGACAGTGTGAGAACTAGTGACATTATCTGGTTACTTATAGTGAAGTATGTAGAGCGATAGCTAGAATCCGCAACTAGGTCTGTAGCAAGATGATCTAGATGTTGGATCAGTATTCACTGTCATAATTTAAAAATCTTTGCCATTTTTAAATTTTTCCGGCTAATAAGACTGTATTGCATTTGGACTTCAGATTACTTAAAGAATCTCATTACATAAAAGCAATCACAGAATAAAAGAGGTGTACTGTTAACAACAGCCAGAGTGCTTTTTATTAACATTATATACATACTGACAATAATTACCATGCTAAAAGAAAATAATAGAACTGAATATGGATTTTTATGTATTACATATATATAAATGAGAAATCTGAGGTAGTAAGAAATCGAAAATGCTGGTCATAAACAAGGAATAAAAACATCTCTATAAATTTGCGAGAAAGTAAAAAGAAGCATAGTCATATATTATAGACAAAATATCTTTTTCAATCAATAAAAAGTCTACTTGGTTGAGATATTTGATAATGCTTAGGTCCAACGCGTTTAAGAGTAACCGTTAGACGGCGAGAATCTGGTGAAGAAGAGTCAGAGAACAGAAGATCAGGGTGCCAAATGTCCTTTGTATCTGAAGTTCGAGACTGCCATAAATTATGAGCGTAGGAAACTGAGGGGATATGAGATGAATTTGGGAGAAAATCATTTTTAATTTTACGTGGTGAATCACCAGCATACAATTCGAAAATACTAGACTGAGTTTCTGGTTGCAGAAGTGGAGGTGGAGGTGTACGGACGACTTCTGGTAAATATGCATTAAAGTTTTTATCATTATTATTATTATAGTTTTGAAGTGAATTTTTCTCGGATTTCTGCCGGTGGTCTTGGTTGTTTATTTTAGTGTTAAGTATTGGATCCGAAACTAGAGTGCATTCAGCATCATATGCTGGCAAAGAGTAATCATGATCTATAAGAATATGTTCAGCTGACATTAAAGAACATTTTTTGTCATTTGTAATAGACTTATTATAAAGACTGAAAGGGATTATGGGTGTGTTAGAAATATGATAATCACATGAGGAATCAGTATCTAAATTGGGTTCAGTGAGTTCAGAATCAATCGAAATGAGTTCACTTCTATCATCTGCTTCAGCTGTGGAATATATGGAGGGAGGACCCACATCATGAGAACTATCTGACAAAGTAAATGATGACGTTGTATGAAGTTTCGAAGGACTGGTTAGTAATGGGGGTATCAGCTCCTCAGAAAAAGACTCAATATCTGTACATTGGTCCGGCATCGCATAATACTGTGTTCCTGAAGCCGCAACATATTTATTCTCCACAAAAGATAACTCTAATTGTGGGTTGTACTTAGTATAAAAACTTTTAGAATCGTCATTTGCATCTTCAACATCATGGTCGTTGTTATTTTGTGACTTGTCATTCAAAAGTTCATCTTTATTTCCACACTTTATTGATCTTGTTTTAGATCTCACCGTATTTTTAAATGAAACATACTCTACAGAATCTGGATAACTTGGCGGTTTACGTTGCCTTTGTTTGGATACCGGAGTGAGCAAACTGGCCTCGGCTATCAAACGAGCATCATAATTTGTTAAACGTCTTCGACTGTGTTCAGAAGTAGTAGATTGATTAAATATATAATTAGTAGTTAATGGGTTTTTTAAATCACTACTACACTTTGTTTCATGCATAAGTCGTCCCAAAATAGGTTCCACATTCTTTGTTAGTTCATTTTCAGCTGAAATTGCATAACAGATTTCGATTCAATAAATAAATATGGTAAAATTGGTGAAAACTACTTTCGAAAAAATGTTTTTCTTTCTAAAAAACCCAGTACCATTATAAACAATTTGCTTTCCTACATTCCCCATGAAATGCTGAACATTACAGCTTAGTTGGATACTTACGAACATAAAATTATTGGATTACCTTAAATATCAAAAAACAATTTGAGTATAACACAAAACCTTTAATTCACATACAAGAATGAACATCCCTAGAAAGTATTTGGTGTTCCAAGTAAATATTTTTACAAAGAATCCTTGAAAATGGGATACTTGGTCAATCACCACTAACATAAGCACTCCAGAACTGAATATACATTCGCCTACGTGTACAGACCAAATCGCAACTCTACGGATCATTGTGGAACAATCAATTGAATGGAATTCATCACTCTACATCAACTTCATTGACTATGAGAAAGCATTTGATAGCGTGGACAGAACAACATTATGGAAACTTCTTCGACACTACGGCGTGCCTCAGAAGATAGTCACTATCATACAGAACTCATATGATGGATTACAGTGCAAAATCGTGCATGGAGGACAGTTGACAAAGTCGTTCAAAGTGAAGACCGGTGTTAGGCAAGGTTGCTTACTCTCACTCTTTCTCTTTCTCCTGGCGATCGACTGGATCATGAAGACGTCAACATCTGAGGGAAAACACGGGGTACAATGGACATCTAGGATGCAATTGGACGATCTAGACTTCGCAGACGATCTGGCCCTTCTATCCCAAACGCTACAACAAATGCAGGGGAAGACGAACAGTGTAGCAGCATCCTCAGCAGCAATAGGTCTCAATATACACAAAGGGAAAAGCAGGATTCTCCGATACAACACAGAATGCACCAATCCAATCACAATTGACGGAGACGATTTGGAAGATGTAAAAACCTTTACGTATTTGGGCAGCATCATTGATGAACAGGGTGAATCTGATGCAGATGTGAAGGCGCGGATCGGCAAAGCAAGAGCAGCATATTCACAACTGAATAACATCTGGAGCTCAAAGCAACTGTCAACCAACACCAAGGTCAGGATTTTCAATACAAATGTCAAGACAGTTCTACTGTATGGGGCAGAAACCTGGAGAACTATGAAAGCCATCATCCAGAAAATACAGGTGTTTATTAACAATTGTCTACGCAAAATACTTCATATCCATTGGCCGGACACTATTAGCAACAACGTACTGTGGGAGAGAACAAACCAGATTGAAGCGGAGGAAGAAATCAGGAAGAAGCGCTGGAAGTGGATAGGACACACATTGAGGAAAGCACCCAACTGCGTCACAAGACAAGCCCTCACATGGAATCCTGAAGGTCAAAGGAGGAGAGGAAGACCAAAGAACACATTACGCCGGGAAATGGAAACAGACATGAGAAAAATGAACAAGAATTGGATGGAATTAGAAAAGAAGGCCCAGGACAGAGTGGGTTGGAGAATGCTGGTCAGCGGCCTATGCTCCATTGGGAGTAACAGGCGTAAGTAAGTAAGTACGTTTCACTGTTTGTCTAAAGTAAATTTATTAATGGTGTTCAGTACTAGTTATTTAAGAAGTTTATTAAAGTTGTTTTAGTGATTATCAACCACCCGAATCAAATTTAACTCGTAAACAAATGAGATTTTGACCTAAAATCTCGGGAAATTTACGTAAGGGATTAGGTAACCAGTTAGTACCTAATCATGAAAATAGATAGTCAGTAACTAACGATCGTTCTAGGTTTAAAGTATAAATTCAGCTCAGATTTACTGAGAAAATATTTCTACGAAACTCAATTTTCAAAACAATGACACTAAAAAGCATCATTAACAAACTATAGGACTAAAAAATTACACGACTGATTTTTTTAAACATATTTCCAACATTAAAAGGTATCTAAGATTAGTCATCTACGTCAATAAAAAACGTGATTCAGCAACGCCTTTGTTCAATTTGCCATACTTTGAAACACATCTGAAAATATGAATGTATATAAATTTCTGCTTAACACACCTGTAATTCGTAATGGACTGATGACTGGTATAGAAGACTCAGCACTAATACTACATGGTTTTCGTTTCATATTCCGATTGTCAGTGCACTTTTGAACTAGTGATTCAAGATAGTAAGATGATTTAAGATCAGGTGTAACAACAATCGTTTCACTGAATGAATTGTTTGGTGAAGTCGATGACATCCGATCCAAATCTGGTGGTAATGGACTATTGGAGCCACTACTATCATTGTTAACACTCCGCCCTAATCCACTACTTGTCCCATCGGATTCTTGCCATGATATACCATCACAAACTATACTGTGATCAGACAGGTTACCGATATTTCTTCTCGAAGTAAAATTGTCCTTTGCTTGAGTGTCAGACAATATTTGTCGGCTTTTTACGGCAGCGACAGATTTCATTAGTTTTTTTTTACCAATGGCGTGGGGATTTGATTTTGACTTGTTTCTTTTTAAAGAGGGAATGATATTTGAAATTGTCATTCTTAATTTGCACTTCTTGTAAGAAGACTTGATTTTTGGCTTTCTGTTTTCTTGACTGTTCACACCAAAGGATCTGTTTATAGAAGCTACTTTTGCAGCAAATAATCGAGCTTTAACGCGGTTTAGACGAGATCCAGTATGGCGTAAGGCGTAGGCATTAGGTAATGCTTTACAAGCTAAACCAGTAGAAGATCCCTTTTCTAGGAAAAAATCCCAAGATAATTGCTTAGCATTTTGTGCATCATTACATGCAGACAGAGTATTATCTAAAAAAAATCAAAGTATGTACAAAAGATAAATAAATAAAGTCTTAATCTCACTGGTAACTTGTTTAAATATCCCAGAGAACCATTAAGACGAAAATGCATTTTAAACATTTAACGAAACTGTAGACCTAATTTGACATCTAAAATGTCACTCCCTTATTCATAAAAAGAGTGAATCCAAATATTGAAAAGTAAAGTTACTGAGTAGGGAGGATCATCTGTATTTTTACATGAACTTAGTTTTCTTTCATGAATATAATGAACAAAGTGAATTGACAGAATCCTAGAATCCTTACGTTTGATGTCTTTGAGAATTACGGCAAAATGTCATAAGGATTGTAAAGAAGAGCGAGAAACTGAAGCTTCAGTGATATTTAATATAATATAAACACTAGTTACTTGCATGAAAAAGTTTACATATCACAAATAAACTGCAAAGCTAAATAAAATAGAATTTATCGAGACAAATGGCGTTATAAATTTATTTTGCTGTTTGACACACTTGAATAACGACGTTATTGCATCTAAGAGAGATAAAGTTCTATATATCATCGATTATTTCTCACAATGATCGAATATACTTTCAGCTTTTAGTTAGCAAAAAAACTTTAAAGAAATGAGATTACACACTTAGGAGTGAAGATTGACAAAGTTTTGTTTAATGAAGACATTAGCAAACTAACTAACTACTTAAAAACCATAAGTAACAACGCCGGAATGTTTGAGACGAAATTCTTCCCCTCTAAATGGAAATATCGTTTTATAACTGATCTCTGTCTATACCGAGTTTGGTCGTAGCGATGAAAGCAATTGGATGTGTGTTTTTTATTTTCATTTATCTTCAAAGTCTTGCCAGTCCGGATGGTTTAGTGATTGACGAAATTTTGGAACAGGTTCTAAAACGTGGCTTGGCTTTTAGTAAGTGATGACTCCTGTTTCATACTGTTATCTCGATTCATTTTCTATTAATTTAGTCAACTTCGTTTTCCTTATGTGGTGTAGTGACTTCGACTGATGCACATTTTAGGTAGGTACTACCTTGATTATGGCTAACTGATGGAATAAACGTTACTGTTCACTATACACAATAAACACAAACATAAATTGGTTATTTTGTATACGCATTGGAAGTGAATATAAGCAAAATCAAAAGAATACAAGTTAATATGTTCAACAATGAAGATGTCGTTTCGCGATATCTTTGGCAAGTTAATAATATATCAAATAAGGATGATAAGTGATAATTTACTAGAACTAACACCTTTATACAGATATTCGGAAACAAACCTACCTGGTAATAAGTTCATCTTATCAAGAAGAACATGACTACGAACATTAGGATTGTAACGGGCATTGTGATACGACGCTATATTTCTGGTATAGTTTTCTTGACCATTCACAATATTTGGAATCAGTTTTTGATTGGAAACAGTGGAACTGTCAATCGTTTGTGTAAATTTACTAAAATAACCGCGCCCCAATAACTCGCAGGTAAAACACTCACAAGCTCTATTATTTGTATCAAAAAAGTGAGTACCATAATAGATAAAAATTTCATCACCACATTTTATATCCGTTTTTGCTTCCAAACTCATACGAGCGTCAACATCACAGTTAATTGTGAACTAAATTCAATCAGAAAAAAAGATTGTAGGATAAGGTGATTTGCAAGAACGATTTGTTTCATAAAACCAACGGAATTTTAAGCTTTGGTGATAAAAGCCTACACTTAATAAAGTATGCTGAGTTAATATTACTCAAAAAGTATCCAACATCATTACTTTTGAAAGATAACTAAATACTTGGAGATTAATGACTTAAAAAACCCTTAAATCATCCCTAATACATTCTCCGAGGTTCAAAATGAGTTAAAAGTCGTGGAAAGACATCCGTATTTGTGCTAACAACCAAGCACTGGCATGGAATCTAAAAATCTCATTTACCATTCTAAACAATCTTTTGCAGACTAGCAACGACTATATAAATAAGTCGCACTAACTAAATGTTTTATAAAATTAATCAGCAGAAATCGAATCTCATTATCGTTGGATTATCTTAATCACACGACAAACACAGCCAGTGATCTAACTCTAATAAACAAAAATGTAATATATGAAAGAAAACGTCAACAGAATTTAGGAACAATCACAATGGTACATATTCCTTTTTATCTTGCAATCTTAAAACTATCACATAATATCTACTCTTTTTTGTATTGGTTAATCTGCGTTTTTTTTCATTTGGTTGATGACTTTCGCTTTTTTATCTAGACATCTCCAAACTAGAACAATGAAGGTCTGTTACTGAGTTAGACCTAACAGGAAGATTGGAACCTAGTAAGAATCAGTCAGTCAGTCAGTAATAACGTAAGAATATGGTTGCTTAGGAAGATATAAACTTGAGATGCATCTAATATATCGAACAAAACGTTACCTCACAGTTTGGATGACAATCATGATTAACGTAGGCAGCGGGACCCAACCACAACTGAGAGCAATTTTTCCTAGAAGAATACATAACCGAAAAATCATTTTTGTGATGCTTCAGAAATGCAGCTTCTTCGTGATGTTTAAGTTCAGCAATACATCCCACCAAGGTACTGATACGTGATCCTTTGGCCCTAGAAACTTATTTATGAGGATTCCTTTGGTTTACCAATCTCTTGTTGCGAAAATTGCAGCACCCATATGGTTTTCCGATGCATAGCGCCAACACGGTCGAATTTCGATGCCAGAACGATCATCAAACAATAAAAGATAACGATTGACCTATGAATAAATCAAGGCTACGAAACACGTACATGCTCTTTGAACCGAGGATCAACACTCCAAGGACGTTTTACAATATTTGGATCGGCTATCAACTGATTATAGGCAGCATCATAACATTTATGCTTCTGAAAGTTGCATATAATATCACGAAACTTCCTTTTAATTCTATCTGGAATCCTTAGCTTCATGCTATAAAAGAGAATATGTTACTTGTAAAAACATACTCAGTCATTTTATGGGTAGTGAATCCAAGATAAGGGTCAACGGTGAGAGCGGAAGCAAGATCATCAGCTTCAGCCAACTCCTTCCAAGTCATCTGATGGCTCCCTGTGACATTCGGAATAGGGTTCTTTTTCGCAAAATTCATATCAGGTGATAATTTAGGTCCCCGTGCCCTCATTATGAGATATTACAAAAGAAAATAAGTTTCCTCAACACATAAAGACGCAAACCAGCTCCTGAGGTAAGTAATTTCATTGAAGTTTTCTTTTCCATCACAGAGCATGACGTCTGAACAAGGAATAAAAAGAAAATAAATAAGTGATGTACTAGTAGTGTTACAGTTGAGCAGTTAAAAATGTATTCATAGCTAATGGGAGTTTAGGCTGGTTATTTCCCACAGATTTGTTGAATAGGATTGGTTAGATGCCGAGTGGTTACAAAAGTCAGAACGTTTGGAAATTTTTAACTAAGCTTATTCCTGTGGGATTATCATACAAGGGTACCTATTCTTTCCTAGAAAATCTCTGTAATTTCACCTGAACACTAAACTTACGCTATATTTAGCTCAAAATACAAGCTGAGACTATTATTTAAGAAGATTATCGAAATTGAGGCATAAGAATTCGGTACTGCCACCTGTCTTAAGCCATTTATAGCTTTCTCAAGCCTACCGAGAATTAGAAAGCTGATGTTATTTAACTAAATTTTTTGGTTAACAATTGACAACTAACGTCAAGTTATATGCCAGTTAGAATAGTGTGTATTTGCCTTGGTCAACTGGAAAGTAAATGACTAACCCATCTTTTTGTAAAGGTGCCGACTCCACAAGCACATTTCGCTCAATTGACCTAAACTATGTATTGTTTCTTATTGACAATAACTATCAAAATACAGATTTCCAAGGTACACTTTTGAAAGTAATTCCAACTGGAATACGCCTTATGAGTACCTTTTTAAGAGAAACTTTGATGTGAAGCGTAATCCCTTCAGACAGTTAAGCAAAGGTTTCTGTACTATCATATAGTGAATAAGACATGGTGTAAAAGCGAAGTCCTATGAAACATTTACTCCCGAAGTGGATTTGATTTTGAACAAACTTTAGTGGGATTTCTTCCGCCTTTACTATTCAAATCAAGCTTAACAAAACCACGCTTTTTTGAGTTAACTGGATGAGATGCAGTTTGTTGTAATTTAGACTGGTTAAAGAAATTTTACTAGAATTACCTTTAAATCACTACTCCATGAGATTTTCAAGTGTTCTGGACACAAACAACGCTGGAACAGCGTGAATGTAGCAGAGGTGACAACATAATCGAAATAATGGATAGAATTAAAACTAAATTAGATTCGTGCATTACATTATCAACAAATCTGAATGAGAAACCTAATCTCCTTATTTTGGGGTACTTTGGGTAAATTTCGTGGTTTTCCAAAAAGTCGTAAGAAACATGGCAGTTTTCCCAAAACCCGAGGAAATGTTGAGGTTTTTGTGCCATTTTCTCAAAGTTGTTTATAGCGTTTCCCCAAAACAGACAAAATTTTCCTCCAAAATAAGGAGATTGGGAACTATCATGTTACGAGACTAAACTTAAAGATAAAAGCGTCTTTAAAAAATTAACCATGCTTCCTGTTCTTCATGAAATAATACTCATGACAGAGTGCAGCAGTATTCATAAGCGAAACGTACAAATAGTACAGAATTTATTTGAAATAAACCTAAACAAAGCGCCCCACAAGTGTTTAATGCCCAAGTCCTACATAATATATTCAATGCATCAAATCACTTCTGATCGTTACAGACATTGCTAGGCACAGAAATTAGTGAATGAAAACCAGAATAAACAATTCTTTCACTAAATGCGTGTGAGCTGCTAGGTTAACTGTTTGAGAATCCATCAACTGTTCTCTAGAAATGCTCCTAGGAGGTTGCATGGATCGATGTTACTCTGATTATGGGTAACTTCTTTCCAGACACTTACTATCATTATGGCAAGACTTCAAACCATATGTACATTCAGAATACCAGGAGTCTTTTCACACTCCCCAAATACATGCATTAATTTCAAGACTATTTGGGAATATGGACTGTATAACAAAAAGTTCACCCTAAATTTGGTCATATGCTACAAATATCTTCGATGTGGTCCGCATCAACATACAAATTATTGTGCAGTGGTAAATAAATCCCCAAAATAAATAGCTCTGTAAGTTTTCGACACTGGATGCTGACCAGATTAGTTTTAGTGGACTCACCTAGCTGAAGGCGCTCGGTCATGCATCCGCAACAGATCACGTGTTGGAACGCCGTACTCAACTGCTACCACAATCGCTAGCCAGATTAGATCAGATAATTCCGATATATTGGCAATCGTCAAATACAACTTCTGATCCCCTCGATTTTGTCTTTTGATTTCTCTTGGTGGGTACGAGTTATATTAGAGGGTGTTACTGGTAAAAGCGTTGTCAAAAACTGAATACCTGTGCCATCTTCATTTGTGAGCCTAACGTGATCTGGTACACCAAATCGCTAACTGTGAGTCTGTTTATTTTTGGGATACTATATATCATTGACATATCTTAATTTTTTATACATTGTGATTTTTTTTCTCGTGTTTTTCGATATATATTTTTTTCCCTCCTTCATTCTCGTACTTCATATTTCATTACGACTGAACAGACACTCAGAGTACTTAAGCTCAAGACTATATCCGCGCCTTCATTCCAACTGATGCCCTTCTGGTCAAACAACATCGACGCCTGGTGTTGCTATGCAGAAGGCGACTTTTCTGAGCATGGCGTAATCGACACACGTGTACAATTCCTCTCAGTAGTCAAGGCACTACCGTGCGAATTAAACAGGTACGTAACACCTAGTATGTTTACTAGTGATGTTTCTGAACCCGATGAAACGCTGAAACGTTCTATTCTTAAACGCGGAGACCTAATTGATAGACAAATGTTAGACCAACTCCTCAATAACATCGACCTGCAACGCGGTTCTGCGACGGACATGTTGCAACGTATGAGAGAGGTTATCGGCTAAAGAACTTTCGATGAAGGCCTATTTAAACAACTTTTCTTGTCGAAACTTCCACAACAGCTGCAAGCTGTGCTTGTCTCGTTCCACAACAACGCCTTAGACGAGCTAGCTGCATCTGCCGACCGCATTTTAGAAATCACAAAATTTTCTAATACCGAGGTTTTTCCGTAAAAGAGAGCCTCATACAACCCAGAATGACATAACAGAGTTATTTCATACACTTACACGTTATCTTAATTTTCGTAACGACCGTAAGCGATCACATTCCACGCAGAAGCACTTCACGTAAGCGATCTGTCTCTAGACCACGGGAGACAGATAACCCCGACTGGTTCTGGTATCATAACCAGTATGGAAAGTCTTACAGAAATTGCAGAAAACCCTGGAATTTTCCCAACTCAAAATCCACTGACACGAATAGCAACTCGGGGAACTTCCAAGCCGGCATGTGTTAACGGCAGCCGTAGCTGGCGAACATAGCCGTCTGTTATACGTCATAGATGTAATAACGAGAGTTCCCTACCTCGTCGACACTGGCGCAGAAGTTAGCGTTCTCCCAGCGAATTCTAACGACCGGATTCACGAATCAGTTTTAACCTTACAGGCGGAAAACGGAAAGCCTATGACTACGTATGGCAAAAGGTACGTTTACTTTAACGCATACGATAGAACCACTTTATCAACGACTACTCGATATGTATCCTGGGATTATAGCGACTCACGTGCAAATGAGTTTAGTCTCATCTAACGCAGTTAAGCCCTTTTGCTAACTTATTTAGCGAACAAAGTCATCCGCACTATAACAACTTTTTGTACCCTTATTATTTTGTGCTTGTATGAAATACGTATGCTTGAATATTGCTTACGGCCTACGCATTTATTCACTCTGCTAATCTTACTACTAACTGATTATTTGATTCGATTACTCATTCATTTCACATGCTATATATATGTCCATGTTATTCATACTCACTTATTCACACACTCTCGTCTTGCTCTTGCTCTGGCTCTCGCTCGCTTGCTTGCCTTTCGGCACAACTCTTCTATGCTTGTTTAACGCATCTGTACATTTGGATATGTGTGTGGTCTCGCAATAAACGTAATCAACACTTCGTATTTGCCTTCTGATTAATATACCGTTGGGACGTTATATAGAACAGTTATCAAGACGAACTGTATACGAAGATTAATGATTATATCGAATACCGACCACCACAGGATACACCAAACGCAACCGAAATTACCATGTGTAACCAGCAACGTTACACATCATATCACGACTACAGGATCACCTGTGTTCTCTAAAGCACGACGACTAGCCCTTGAAAAGCTAAGGTCGGTGAAAAACGATTTCGACCACATGATAGACTTAGGAATCATACGACCGTCAAATAGCCCATATGCATCTACGCTGAACATGGTCCCAAAAAAGGGCAGCAATGATTGGCGTCCAACTGGTGACTATCGGCGATTGAATCCGAAAACCATTCCCGATCGTTACCCGTTGCCTCACAATCACAATTTGACAGCCACCTTGAAAGATTCAACTGTCTCTTCGAAAATCGACTTGGTTAAAGCTTATAACCAAATTCCCATGACCATTGACGACATTCCGAAAACGGCTATCATAATTCCTTTCGGACTTTACGGATTTTTGCGAATGCCCTTCGGTTTAAAAAAAGCTGCACAAACCTTCCAAAGCTTTATAGACGACGTTTGTTGAGGTCTCAGCTTCGTACATGCATATGTTGACGACTGTCTAATGATAAGTCCGGACAGAGAATTGCATCTCAAGCATCTGGACCTCGTTTTCGATCGACTACAAAAACATGGCATTACTGTAAACATTCAGAAATGCCAAATCGGAACCGACTCATGAGACTTCCTAGGACACACTACCGATGTTCAAGGAATTCGACTCCTTAGATCCAAAGTGGCGGCCATTCTGGACAACCCAGAACCGACCACTATCAAGCAATTACGAGTGTTTGACGGCCTTGTAAGTTTCTATAGACGTTTCATACCTAAATGCGCGTTACTCATGAAACCTCTTACCGATTAACTTCGTGGAAATGCGGAATCCATCAATTTGGACGGCACCGCGCGAAAAGCATTCTTTATAGTTAAGGAACTTATCGCCAAAGCAACAGTGCTTGCCCATCAGGACACCGAAGCACCCATTATTGTAGCAGTAGACGCGTCAGACTCCGCAATTGGAGGAGTTTTACAACAATGGGTTAACAACTCCTAGGAACCTTTGGGATTTTTCTCTAGACGGTTGCTAGACACCGAATCAAGGTACAGCACATTCGGTAGGAAACTCTCAGCTATGTATTGTGCTGCACGGCACTTTCAACATTACGTCGAAGGCCGTGAATTCGCTCTTTTTACTGACCATAAACCTCTTACTTTCTCGTTAGGCTCCTCTTCAGCCAAGTACTCACCTCGTGAGTCTCGACAACTGGACTACATTTCGAAATTTACTTCACACATCCAACACATTTCTGGAGCAAACAATGTAGTTGCAGACGTCTTATCTCGAATAACTTCCTTGAACAGTTTCCAGGGAATCGACCTTCTGAAACTCACCCAGCTTCAAAAAGAAGACACTGATCTTCAGCACGAGTTATCGTCTACAACCCTCAAGCTATGCATCAAACACATGGGAACAGGTAAGGAACCCTTACTTTGTGACACATCTACAGGTGTGGATCGCCCAATCGTGCCGAAATATTATCGACGCAACGTCTTCAATACATTGCACAAACTTTCTCATCCAGGTGTTCGTGCAACCATCAAGCTTATAGCAGAACGGTTTTGCTGGTCTGGCATGAACAATGACGTGTGGGAGTGAGCACGCTCCTGTGTAAGCATCGACAACTTTTCAAATCAGCATACGAAGGATCTTTCAAAGTTCTTCAACACGAATTTAAGTACTATATGGTCGATAAGAACGGAACAAACGATAGCATCAGCATCGATCGCCTCAAAGCAGCGTATTTAAAAGGAAACCCCATCTACGTCGATTTCCCTTCGGTATAGTCGCACGACACGACTCCGAAAATTATAGTACGTCATCCAACAACCTCACACACGATGATACTTCGACAGTATCTGAAAATAAACTTAAAACAACGCGTTCTGAAAGAGTAAGATTTCTAGAACATTTCAACGATTATTGCTAGTAAGGTATTAGTTGACATTTTATATCACCTCCATTTTTCTTTGCACTATATGTAATATAAAAAAACTAATATTATAATGCTTATGTATTTATATTTATATTTCAAAAAAACAACGCAAAAAACCATTTTGTAAAAGTCCTTTTTAACGCTATTACGTGTGAATGAGTTTATTTTCCTTTTTTCGCCCGCTTTCAGTTTTTACGCACGTATGAGCGTATTTCGACATGCACTTAAATATTTTTTCTTTTCCTGGACAGCTGGAAAAGGCAATAAAAAACCGATGAAGTTTATGAGTAAACGAAATTTTCATTGTACTGCAATTCCTTGTTACAATATTGTACGATACGGTCCGTTATAGTAAGGAAAAACGACCAGACGCTGCTAAACCTAACAAGATATCAGAAGAGTATTTACCAACGACAAAATCGTTGGGTTTGAACTCCTGGCTGGCCACGCCTTAGGGCCATCACTATCCCACTGGGGGGGGAGTGATCTGTAGCGGTAAATAAATCCCCAAAATAAATAGCTCTGTAAGTTTTCGACGTCGGATGCTGACCACATTAGTTTTAATGGACTCACCTAGCTGAAGGCGCTCGGTCATGCATTCGCACCAGATCACGAGTGGGAACGCCGAGCTCAACATCCTCTGCAGTCGCTAGCCATATTAGATCAGTCGATCCTCAAGTTATTGATAGCCTATCAAATATATCTTCGAACAAATTCATTTCTGACTTTAATTTGACTGAGTTGGCTTAAACTGATTGTAAAAGTGTTGAGTACAAAGGCGTTGTAAAACGTTGAATACCTGTAGCACCTTTATTGATTTCAACAGTTGGTTGCTCCATGTTCATTCAAAAGGAGCCTGAAAATACAGTGTTTCCCCTCACAGACATAAATGGACCTAATTCGTTGTTCTCACCTTCAATGCTCACAGTTAAGTAACCACATTCTCCTTTTTGTAATATAGCTGGGTGTTTAGGCTGGTGTTGAATTGTTGCAGCTGTTTCATGTTTAGTTTTGATCTTAGATATAGTAGTTGCACTCGATATGTTTT